TTTCCATCACACACCCCCGCACATGCCACGTTTAATCTCTGTGTACAAAACACACCTTCTGCTCTGGACCATGAGGTACCTGGAAGAGAGCCACACGAGGCTGTGGGATCTGAACACATGGGGTCAGATCACTGTCCTTGTGCTGCAGAGGCTGCCTTGTCTCGCCTTCACAGCGGAGGCTGGCAGAGCCTTGCCTGTTACACACCACATTTTCTTCAAGAAAGCTCCACCATGCACATATGACACCCAGCATAAGGAGCAAGACTGCGGGGTCATTTGCACGCAGCCTTCAGATCCAGTGTCAGGCGTGCCACCGGTGGGCCACAAGGCCAGAAAAACAGACCCCACGCCCTTTGCCACTTGGGACAAACACCTCCAGCTCCCTCCTGCAGCCTTTCAGGAGGGGAACTGCTCGATGAATGCTCCTCCACCCTCATTGTCCAAAGACAGTAGGAACAAGGCTGGAGCAGAAAGCAGCATGGGAAGTAGCATCTCTTACCAGCCATGCCTGGGAAACACAGATAGAGATTTCTGGATTGCCACGTAATAATTCAGTCAACAGCAGGTAGACGGGCAATTTCACACAGCCACGAATTACACACAACTCTTCACAGAGCCAAAGGATGCCACCACACCAGCCTCTGTAGTCGAAGCATCTGCAATGGGCTTTCTGCTGCTGCTACATTTATCACGATTGCAGGACACTTACAGGGAAAACTATACCGTTTTCTGTAGCGATACATGATGCCCATAGTACACACAAGGAACTTCTGATAAAGAATATCCTTAACCCTGTCAGTTTTCTTTCTGGAGAAACTTGCAGAAAGGGGCTGACTGAACAAGTTTCACAATAAGGGGATTTGTGAGCAGCAGTCCCAAAACGCAACACTTTAACTGAAGGCAGAGCACCTCCATCAGGGATCAGGTTTCCCTGACCGCTGGAATTACCCTTTTGTCTTCAAAGATACAGAGCCTGAAATTTGAACCATGCACAAACACCCAAGCTTTTAATACTCACAAGTCAAATGACTTGTCTCTTGAAGAAGCACTACAGTTGTCAGACACCATTGACCCAAATGCCTTTTCCCCATGCCTGAAGCATTTGCATTTTACTCACCACATCTTTCCATGCCTTTAAATAACAGCCACTTGTAACTTCTACTGATGTTACCAGATGAAAGAAAAGTGATGTCTTTGCCAGTAAGTATTCCAGTGGAACAAGCTTTCAGTGAACTACACTACGCTGAGTCAAGAGAAACAGGTAAATGTTAATAATTTGCTTGCAATAAACATCAGCACCATTTAGGATTTCAGCATATAAAAGCTGATGACCTAGCAAAGCCAGACGCTTTTTCTGCACATTGTGTCCCTCTAAACAACGACTGCAAAGTGACACAAGAGAAGCTTCCTAAGAGAGAGGGAAAGACTAAGCACAGCACAACTCAAAAACCCAACCCTACAATTTGGTAGCAGAAATACCATGACTGTGGTGCAAGAGCTAGCTTGTACCTAGCCCTTTTCTCTTCAGAGAAAACTTTTACAATTGACCATGCCTCTTCCAGGAAGAAAAAAAAAAAACCAAAACTCAAAAATTTGCAGTGTGATTTGCATCCTGCCTTCTGATCCACAGCCAGACAAGCTGCCATGGTGGCCCAGGAATATTTGCCTTCTTGTCTCCTTCCAGGACTAAATTTCTGTTTTCTTTCTTACCACACACGTAATATCAAGCTGTTTTTCGAGACACCCTCTCTCTGTCCTCACATCCATTCCAAAGCAGCCCTGAGCCAGACATGCTTGGAGTACGTGACCAGAGGATTCCTGACACCTGGTGTATAGAATGTCATTCGTCACCAAAGAGGAGAGGGAAGGGACTTCATGTAACATCCAAACAAGAGTAATGCATCTCTACAAAACAATTCCTTTATCACTCCACACCACAGGCTTTTATAGCATGGCATCATATAGTAGTGGTGTTGAACTTGGAGCTTAGGACTATAAATGTTTAAACATACTTTTATTTCCTATCGTGCTACCCTGACTTCTCATTCCAGCGTTGGAGGGACTGGAATTTCCCTAGGAAAGAGCAAGAGAAACACGCTTTGGATACCATTTCAGCATAAAAGCACAATATGAAGACTTCACAGCACAGGCCTGTAATTCTGAACCAGGATGGAAGCAGATGGCTCCCCAGCCTCTAGGTTACCCTGTTTTTCATTTTTACTTCATGTGCTTCATACCGGGAAGACATATTTAAATTGAAAGTGACTAAAGTCTAAGCTTTTTACTGAAAGAAAGTAGCATAGAGCATAGTTTGGCATGGAAAATGAATCTATGTTGTCAAATCTTTTGTTCCTCTCTCTAACCCCCTCAAGACCTGTTTTTGTATTCATTGCCAACATGAACTTCTTGGTACCCTTTTAGTAAATGAAATAGTCTTTACTTATTGCAGTAAATACTCTTATGAGCACTGGTAGCACTGGTTGTTTACTGGTTCTCAGCCAAACCTCTGCTTTTGAAACCAACAACAACAACAAAAAGATTTTTGCTCAGCTTCCCTTAGCCCACGAATGCACGCCTAACATGGATTACTGCTTTTAAAATATGGTTCATCTTACATTCCCAGATTTCAGACCCTGGGAATGTATGTAACAGCTCAACTCTGAAAAACTGAGCCCTCTGAGGAGGAAGAGAATAGAGGACAACAGGGCAAAGCCGAGAGCGCCAGTTATATTTTAAATAAACTCATTGTTAAGCATAGTCTTTTTGGTCTTGCTGTTTGTCGCTTCTATTCTTAGGTTTTCTGAACTTTGGGACTTTTCCACGACCAGTTTTGGCTTTACAGACACTTCCATTTTTTACTCCATAAACCCAGCTGTGGACTGTTGGCCTAATTCAGCTCAAGATTTGAACTAGGAGGGCCATTCAAATTAGTCACAAAGTAAAAGAACCAGACCTTTGGAGGGGGAAATGCATGGTGAAATACTTCCTTCAGTCTCCTTCACACTTTAATTGCCCTTCCTCCATTGCTATGCTGGCTGGATACCATGGTTTTTTGTTCTGACCCCACTGACCTGCCTCGCAAACAAGAGGAGCTATTTACAAAAAGCCTTTACCAAGTCATGCCTGTTTTCAGTTGAACTCTAACCTAGCCATTGCTAAAATGCGGCACTACAAAGATTTAGTGCGATTCTTGCAAACTCGTTAGCTGTATAATGCTTGCTCCTCCACATTTCCAGCTGTTTCTTTACCCCTGCAAATAGGACTCTCTGACTTTATTCAAGATGTCTGGACACAAGCAGACAGAGCCACTTCAACGGCCTCCAGGGGAACATACTGCTGCCTAAGAGGGAAGCTTATGTAGCTGTTCTGGCAGGAGGGAAAACCAGGAAGGCTATGGCTGTTATCAGGAGTAAAAATGCAAAATAGTACAGTTCTACTATCTAGCCCTAAGGGAAAGGAGATTTATTAGCAATGAATAAACAGGTAAGAAGCAACAATTGTTTCTTATTATTTATGCAACAGCACGAAAAAGCTATGTGGTTGCAGCTAGTGGCTGTGTACAAATGCAAAGCATATGCATATTATTGTTCAGATTGTTTTATCTAGAAGCTTTCTAGAGCAGTAACACTGCGAGAGCATTCAAGCTCTGCAAATCTTTCTTGATTTTTCTTTCTACAACAAGAAAGGCAAAGAAGATAATCTGCAAGAGTGGGAAGATAAGGATGTACAGAGGAGAAGCCACCATTACGGGAAGCAGGCAGCAATGTGGAGGTTTGCTTTGATCTTTGATTGCCAGAATCTCACCACAGAGATTAACGCACCTTCCTATACGAGGCGGGGAAGGTCAAGAAGGAAAACTTATTAAGAAAGATTCTAAGTGGTAGGCTTGAAAGAGATAATCTTTCCAGCATTTGAGGTCACTACTAACTCAGGAGAGAAACTTGTTACGGATGAAGGCACTGCTAGTGTCTGGCATATCTATAAAGTAATAGACTAAGGAAAGCTATTGCCCAACGTTGATACTCTGCTAACCATATAGACAGGGTAAATTGAAAACCTCTTCATTTACATCAGGCAACAGCTACAGCACCCAGGACATCCGCGTACACAAGACGACACCTCTGCAATAGATGCACCAGGAGCTTTTTATGCTACAAAGCTGAAAGCCGCGGGGCTGACCTACATGCTAGCATGACTGCAAGAGGCACCACCCAATTCTTGCTTATCCCTTCGGTCTTGTCCGTTTAGACATTCTGGTGCAAGGACCTTCAACAAGTGTGGTATTTTTACCGCTCTGTATTACAAAACTAATTACATGGGGAAAAGGAAACAAACCTTAAAAAAAGAACAAACCCAGAACTTGGGCCTTGTTGGTAGACAAGCATTTTTCATCGTTTGTCACTTCTGTCCTACAAAATTGTAAGACCTCTGAAGAGCAAACCTCAACGTCCTTATTCAGGTTTTGCCCTGCAGATTACGATTTCTTTAGAAAATAAAGGAACACCACTGCTAGATGGTATTTAATGGTTCGCCCACTCCCTTCGGAGCGCCGCGGAGCCTCCCCGGCCCGCCCCGCTGCCTCGCCTACCGGCAGCTCCGGGCC